GAGAGAGAGAGAGAGAGAGAGAGAGAGAGAGAGAGAGAGAGAGAATGAGAGACAAGGACGTGTGTGAGGAGTGTTCGGTGAGGGAGCAGAGAAACTGAGATATGGGATAACGCTAACAATCTGGCAACGCCACAAAACATCACATTCAACTACACCCGCGCACGCAGGCACACGCGCGCACACACACACACGCACACACGCGCGCACACACACACGCGCACACACACGCGCGCGCACACACACACGTTTGCTCACTTACCGACTGGACTTGACGAGCTACTGCTACTGGACGGACTGCTTTGGCTAGTTCTCTCTGTCAGCGCCAGGTGGCACGGCTCAGACCTGCGACGGTGTTCGTCTGCCGGTGTCAGTCTGACCTTGTGAGGGGTCAGCGGTGACATCATCGGCGGCATGATGGGTGTGGGCGCCGTGAGGCGGGTCGCCGCCGTGATGGGAGCGACTCCCGTGAGCGGGTAGCCGCCGCGCTGCATGAACGCGCCTGCATCATGCCACGGCCGCGCGAAGAAGAAGCCACTCTGTGTGAGATGATGAGGATGCAAGGACGGAGGAGCAGGAGGATGAGAAAGCTGCTGCTGCTGCTGATGCTGCTGATGCAGGCTCCGGCGCGCGCTCGGCGGGCTGTCAGACGTCGCTGTGTGCGCCAGCGACCAGATCTTTGGCTTCTGCGCGGCCTCGCTCGGCTCCGCATCGCCAACGTCGCCGCCGCCGCCGCCGCTCTTCGTGCGAGATCTCCCTTCCATACCGCCCACAATTCTCCGCGACGCGTCGTGAAGGGGCGCTGCGAGCCGTGACGTCACGGCGCCGTCGCTGTCGTCCGACTTAAGGAAGATGTCGTCGGCGTCGCCTGGAAAGAGAGCGGGAGTGACGTCATTGTCGGTAGCACGTAATGTCGCGAGTAACGATCATGATGCCAACAGTCGTTGGAAATAAACAGAACACGTACGCCGCAGTAATGCAGTATCAATGCATCGATTATGAATTATCTCATATCATGTATTATATGAAAGGCGAGTAATGAGGTTGTAATCAGGTGATGGAGAGAGAAGCGCAGACGCACCAGCCGACTGACTATATCTCATCATCATCGCACGATCCTTTACGCACGCACGCACGCACGCACGCACGCACACATTCACATATATATGCACAATACCCGCGTGCGTGCGTGCGTGCGTGCGTGCGTGCGTGCGTGCGTGCGTGCGTGTGCTTACTGTACCGTATTCTATTGTAGTATTGTATCGTAGTATTATATTATACCATTTTATTTTGGTATTGTATCATTATATTGTATCATGGTGTTGTATCGTAGTAATGTATTGCAGTATTGAATTACAGGATATCTATGGTCTCGACGCATTTATGCACACCCGATTCTCGTAGAATCCCACGAGACGTTATCAAAATTATACGCGAGAAATCCGATACAAAATTAGGTCGATAGATAAATGCGAGCCGTAGCGGGTTATAGAACTAATGAGCTTATATTATGTGAGCGGCGTAGCGGTGAGATAGAGAGGTAGCGAAGGAGGAAGGGAGAGACAGAAGGGTGAGAGGAGGAGCGAGGGGAAAGTGAAAGGAGAGAGAGGGGGAGGCGCGCACGGTGGTAGAGGTAGAGTTAATGATGACGAACGTATATAGGTATAGCGTCTGGTGGTGAATGCACGCTTTGTGTTGTGGCTGCGAGAGACTAACGTGCTAAGTGCTGCGTTATGAAGATTATCGCGCGGCGAATTGTCCCCCATGTGCTATATATAAATATATATATATATATATATATATAGCTATAACTGCTACTCCCATACGTGGCAACGAACCAAGAGAGAGAGAGCTAGGGATAGCGCGAAAATGGTGAGAGGAGGGATGGTGATCATGAGAGGGGGATGGGAGAAAGGGGGATAAAGAGAAAGAGATGTTATAGAAAGAGAGAGAAGGGGGAGAGGGAGAGTGACAGACAAGGAGACAGGGAGCACAAAGGCAGATTCACCTTGGGAGAGGGTTGACCTTAACGGCTTACGCACTTATAGACGACGCGTTCGTTCCCTATTTGTTCGAGTTTATTATTGACGCAAATTTACTTGCCTGAAAAAACTGTCACAGAGAGAATAACCACAGTCGCGTGTGTATTTAAAATTTGCGCGCTCTCTCCTCGCCTCTCGATCTCCTCTTGCTCTCGCTTGCTCTCTTTCTTTCTTAGACAAACACACCTGCAGTTAATTTTTGTTTCAAGTTTTAAACGGTGAGGTGCGGGAGCTTGTATGCATGCACGCATCCGTGCGTGCCTGCGTGTGTGCGTGTGTGCGTGTAACTCATTCGCAGTTTCTCACATGATTGTGCACAGCCACCCATGTACCAGCGCCCGGCCTACTATACCCGCCTGTTTACAGTAAAGCGGGCGAAAACAAAGCAAAGTCAACAAGCCTGGTTGGTCGCCGCTAAGCTCTTTGCCGCAACTGTCGGCTCACGCGCGCCGCGGCTCCCCCACCACTCCCACCGTCCGTGATCCAAACACAATCGCCACCCGCGTTTACTCAGCCGGAGTAAGGAGTTAAAATAACTGCGTCTCGCTCGCTCCCCACGTCGCCTTGCCCCGGTTTTAATTCCAATCTATCCTCTCGTTGTTGGCTGGCACCTGGTCTGTCAAGCTCGCTCGCGTGCGTGCATACGTGCGTGCGTGCGCGCGAGCGAGGGAGAGCGCCGTGGCAATTTGTGCTGGCTTCCTCTCTCCGTTACAGCGGCTTCCGCCTCCGACTGCCATGTCAACGTGTCAGCTTAATTTTAACTCTTTCGCCGTCGCGTATTACCCGCTGCGTTGTTTGTCGGCCTGACGGTAGAATGTTTTGCGAGGCACTGGGGGGAGATACGTGCGCTAGAAGCAAATGATGTGTGCGTTATACGAGCAAGGTCTCACGCAGGGCAGAGGGTGACAACGATCAAAATGGTAGGGAATATTTTCAGTTGAGCAGTAAACAGTTTAGGTAAGAGCAAAGGTGGTGAGAGGGTGACACGGTTATCGTTAGCAGGCGAAGAAGCCACACACAGAGAGACAGACAGGGAGAGAGAGAGAGAGAGAGAGAGAGAGAGAGAGAGAGAAGACAGACAGACGAGAGAGAGAGAGAGAGAGAGAGAGAGAGAGAGAGAGAGAGAGAGAGAGAGAGAGAGAGAGAGAGAGAGAGAGAGAGAGAGAGAGAGAGAGAGAGAGAGAGAGAGAGAGAATGAGAAGACAAGGACGTGTTGTGAGGAGTGTTCGTGGAGGAGCAGAGAAACTGAGCTATGGGATAAGCGCTAACAATTCTGGCCAACGCCACAAAACATCACATTCACTACACCCGCGCACGCCAGGCACACGCGCGCACAACACACACACACACACTGCGCGCACACACACACGCGGCACACCACACGCGCGCGCACGACACACACTGTTTTGCTCACGTTTACGACTGGACCTTGACGAGCTACTGCTACTGGACGGCGACTGCTTTTGCTAGTTCTCTCTGCAGCGCCGAGGTGGCACGGCTCAGACCTGCGACGGTGTTCGTTGCGCGGTGTCAGTCTGACGCTTGTGAGGGTGCAGCGCGTGACATCATCGGCGGCATGATGGGTGTGCGCGCCCGTGAGGCGGGTTCGCCGCCGTTATGGGAAGCGATGCCGTGAGCGGTAGCCGCCGCGCTGCATGAACCGCCTGCATCATGGCCACGGCCGCCGCGAAGAAAGCCACTCTGTGTGAGATGATGAGGATGCAAGGAACGGAGGAGGCAGGAGGGAGAGAAGCTGCTGCTGGCTGCTGATGCTGCTGATGCAGGCTCCGGCGCGCGCTGGCCGGGCTGTCAGACGTCGCTGTGTCGCCAGCGACCAGATCTTTGGCTTCTGCGCGCATCGCTCGCTCCGCATCGCCAACAGGTCGCCGCCGCCGCCGCCGCTTCTTCGTGCGAGCATCTCCCTTCATAACGCCCACAATTCTTCCGCGACGCGTCGTGAACGGGGCGCTGCGAGCCCGTGACGTCACGGCGCCGTCGCTGTCGTCGCGACTTAAGGAAGGATGTCGTCGGCGTAGCCTTGGAAAGAGAGCGGTGAGTGAACGTCATTGTCGGTAGCACGTATGGCGCGAGTGACGATCATGATGCCAATCAGTCGTTGGGAAATAAACAGAACACGTACGCCGCAGTAAATGGGCAGTATCAATGACTCGATTAGAAAATCACTCTCATATTCATGTATTATATAAAAGCGGTAATGAGGTTGTAATCAGGTGATGGAGAGAGAAGCGCAGACGCACGCAGCCGAGCTAGACTATATCTCATCATCATCGCACGATCCTTTACGCACGCACGCACAGCACGCACGCACAGGCACACACAATTCACATATATATGCACAACTACCAGCGAACGAAATAACATCTCCTTCCGTTATCGCATCGCCCACGCATTACGCTTTCTATCATTTACGCGCACCGCTATCATACCCGGACATCCGTCTATATTCACACGCACAGCTATGATTCACCGAGCAGTCTTTCATTCACCGCACCGTCTCTCATTCATCGCACCGTCCCTATCATTCACCGCACAGTCTATGATTCACGCCGCACACATCTATCATCACGCACCGTCTATACATTCAACACACCGGTGCTATCATTCAACTCGCGCACCTTCTATCATCTCACCCGCACCTTCTATCATTCACAACGCACCGTCTATATCGACACGCACCTTTCTATCATTCACCGCACTTCTATCATTCACTGCACCGTCCTATCATTACCGCACTTCTATCATGTCAATCGCACCGTCTATCATTCACCGCACGCTTCTATCATTGACCGCACCTTCTATCATTCAAGACGCACCTTCTATCATTCACCGCACCGTCTACATTCACCGCACAGTCTATGATTCACCGCACCTTCTATCATTCAACTGCACTCTATCATTCACGCGACCTTCTACTCATTCATCCGCACTTCTATCAATTCCACTGGCACCGTCTATCATTCACCGCACCCGTCTATCTATTCCACCGCACCGTCTATCATTCACCGCACCTTCTATCATTCACCGGCACCGTCTATCATTCACGCACACCTTGCTATCATTCACATGCACCTTCTAATATTCACCGGCACCTTCTATCATTCCGCTGCCACCTTTCTATCATTCACACGCACCTTTCTATCATTCACGCACATTCTAATCATTCCCCGCACTTCTATCATTCATCGCACGCGTCTAATCATTCACCGCACTCTATCATTCACCGCACGCGTCTATGCATTTCACGGGCACCGTTATCATTCACGCACCTTCTATCATTCCCACACCGGTCTTCATTCATCGCACGTCTATCATTCACCGGAAGCGCACCTTCTATTCATTCACGGTCGCACCAGGGGTCTATCATTCAAGCCGCACCGTCTATCCTTCAGCCGCACCTTTATCATTTCACTGCGCACCGTCTATCATTCACGCCCACCTTCTATCATTCCACTGCACGCTTTCTATCATGTCACGCACGCCACCTTATCTATCATTCACCGCACCTTCTATCATTCACCGCACTTCTATCATCAACTGCACCTTTCCATATGCATTCACCTGCACCTTCAATCATTCACGCGCAGCCTTCTATCATTCACGGCGCACCTTCTCTGCATTCACCGGCACGCTTCTCTCATTCAACCGCACCGTCTATCATTGCACCAGGCACCTCTCTATCATTCTACACGCACGCGTCTATCATTCACGACGCAACCTGTCTATCATACACTCGCACAGTCTAAATCATTCAGCGTGCGCACGTCTATGCATTCACGCGCACCTTCTATCCATTCCCGCACCTTCTATCATTCACTGCACAGTCTCGTATCAATTACTCTACGCCCGTCTCATATTCACCACACCTTCTATATTCACTCGCACCGTCTATCATTCACGCGCACCGTCTTCATTTCACCGCAGGAACCTTCTATGGCATTCAACCGCAACATGTCTAATCATTCACGTGCACAGTCTAATCATTTTTTCACCGCAAACCGTCTCTCATTCACCGCACTTCTATCATCACCGGCACGTCTATCATTCCGCGACCGCTAAACATCAGTCACCGCACCGTCTATGCATTCACCGACAGTCTATCATTCACTCGACTGTCTATCATTCACACCGCAACGTCTGTATCATTCATCGCACCATCCTATTCATTTCCACCGCACCTTCTATCATTCATGCATCAGTCTATCATCACCGACCGTCTATCATTCAGCCACACCTTCTATCATCACCGCACCGTGCTATCATTCAACGGGACGCACCGTCTATCATTCACCGCACCTTATATCATTCAACCGCACCTTTATCTATTCACTGCACAGTCCTATATTCACCGCACCGTCTATCATTCACGCGCACCTTCTATCATTCCACCGCACGTCTATCATTCACCGCCGCGTCATAACATTCACGCACCGTTATCATTCACCCATCATATCATTCAACGTCGCACTGTCTATCATTCACCGCACCGTCTAATCATTCATCGCAACCTTCTAATCATTCACAGACGCACTTCTATCATTCACGCGCAGCTTTCTATCATTCCACCGCACCTTCTAATCATTCACCGCACCCGTCTATCATTCACCCGCAACCTTCTATCATTCCCCCGCACCTCTATCATTCACGCGCAGCCTTCTATCATTCACCGCAGCCGCTATCATTCACTGCAACAACGTCTATCATCACACGCCCTTCTATCATTCAGCCGCAACGTCTACATTCACACGCAACGTCTATCATTCACCGCAGCGTCTAATCATTCACAGCGCACAGTCTATCATTCACGCGCCGTCTATCATTCACTGCACCGCTATCATTCACCGGACCTTCTATTCATTCACACGCAACCGTTCTATCATTCAAGCACGAACCATCTAATCATTGCACCGCACCTTCTATCATTCACGCGCACAGTCTAATCATTCCAGCCGCGCACCTCTTATAATTACCCGCACCGTCTAATCATTCACTACGCACCTTTCTTATCATCAGCCGGCACCTTCTATCATTCACGCGAACCGCTCTATCATTCACCAATCCATACTATCATTCCACGCAGGAAGGAGGAGACCGCTATCATCACTGGGCAAGCGCGTCTAATCATTCATCGCACCGTCTATCATTCACATGCAAGGTCTATCATTCACCGCACAGTCCTATCATTTCACCGCAGCCGTCTATCATTACCGCACTTCTATCATTCAACCGCACGGCTTCTATCATCACACCGGCACGCTTCTTTTTTTAAAAAAAATCAATTTCACCGCACCGTCTATCACCTTCACCGCACGCTATGCATTCAACCGCACGCTTCTATCATCAACCGCAACCATCTATGCATTCACCGCACCGTCTAATCATTCACGCGCCCCTCTATCTTCATCGCACCCGTTCTATCATTCACTGCACCGCTATCAATTCACCGGGCACCTTCTATCATTCACGCGCACCTTCTATCATGTCACGGCGCCCGTCTATCATTCACGCACCTTCTATCATCACTGCATCAGTCGTATCAATTCAACCGGCACCTTCTATAATTCACACGCGCACGCGTCTATCATTCCAGGCCGCACCTTCTATTCATTCGACTACGGCACGGTCAGGCAATTTCACCGCAGACCGTCTAATCCTTCCTGCACGTCCTATCATTCACACTCGCACCTTTCTATCATTCACGCGCACCGTCTTTCATTTACCGCACCTTCTATCATTCACCGCACCTTCTAT